CTACTAGAGTACAAGAAACTGCCAACATGGGCAGTTCGTTTAACTCAGCCATGAGATGTAGAAAAGCAACCTAAGGAGCAGCTTAATGAAAACCTTTTCGAAGATTGGGTAAATGTGGTTTCACTAGATCCACGTGATACTGTTCCTACTATAGTACATGAAACTGCCAACCTGGGCAGTTCACTTAATTCTCAAGCAGCACAGGAAATAGAAGGAGTGGAGGTACTTACTGGATGAGAACCATGCGATGTAGAAGAGCAACCTGAGGAGCAGCGTAATAAAAACCTTTTCGAAGATAGGGTAAATGTGGTAACATTGGATCCACGTGATACTGTTCCTACTATAGTACATGAAACTGCCTACCTGGGCAGTTCATTTAACTCTCAACAGCACAGGAAATAGAAGGAGTGGAGGTACTTACTGGATGAGAGCCATGCGATGTAGAAGAGCAACCTGAGGAGCAACTTATTGAAAACCTGTTCGAAGATAGGGTAAATGTAGTTACACTGGATCCACGTGATACTGTTCCTACAATAGTACATGAAACTGCCATCCTGGGCAGTTCACTTAACTCTCAAGCAGCACAGGAAATAGAAGAAGTGGAGGTACTTACTGGATGAGAACCATGCGATGTAGATGAACAACCTGAGGAGCAGCTTAATGAAAACCTTTTCGAAGATAGGGTAATTGTGGTTACACTGGATCCACGTGATACTGTTCCTACTATTGTACATGAAACTGCCAACCTGGGCAGTTCACTTAACTCTCAAGCAGCACAGGAAATAGGAGTGGAGGTATTTACTTGAGGAGAGCTATGCGTTGTAGCAGAGCAACCTGAGGAGCAGCTTATTGAAAACCTGTTCGAAGATAGGGTAAATGTAGTTACACTGGATCCACGTGATACTGTTGCTTCTATAGTACATGAAACTGCCAACCTGCGCAGTTCACTTACTCTCAAGCAACACAGGAAATAGAAGGTGTGGAGGTACTTACGGAAGGAGAGCCATGTGATGTAGAAGAGCAACCTGAGGAGCAGCTTAATGAAAACCTTTTCGAAGATAGGGTAAATGTGGTTACACTGGATCCACGTGATACTGTTTCTACTATAGTACATGAAACTGCCAACATGGGCAGTTCACTAAACTCTCAAGCAGCACAGGAAATAAAAGGAGTGGAGGTACTTACAGGAGGAGAGCCATGCGATGTAGAAGATAAACCTGTGGAGCAGCTTAATGAAAACCTTTTCAAAGATAGGGTAAATGTGGTTACACTTGATTCACGTGATACTATTCCTACTATAGTACATGAAAGTGCAAACCTGGGCAGTTCACTTAACTCTCAAGCAACACAGGAAATAGAAGTAGTGGTGGTACTTACTGCATGAGAGCCAAGCGATGTAGAAGAGCAACCTGAGGAGCAGCTTAATGAAAACGTTTTCAAAGATAGTGTAAATGCGGTTACACTGGATCCACGTGATTTCAGTTCCTACTAGAGTACAAGAAACTGCCAACATGGGCAGTTCATTTAACTCTCAAGCAGCACAGGAAATAGAAGGAGTGAAGGTACTTACTGGAGGAGAGTCATGCGATGTAGAAGAGCAACCTGAGGAGTAGCTTAATGAAAACCTTTTCGAAGATAGGGTAAATGTGGTTACACTAGATCCACGTGATACTGTTCCTACTATAGTACATGTGACTGCCAACCTGGGCAGTTCACTTAACTCGCCAGCAGTACAGGAAATAGAAGGAGTGAAGGTACTTACTGGAAGAGATTCATGCTTTGTAGAAGAGCAACCTGAGGAGCAACTCAATGAAAACCTTTTCGAAGATTGGGTAAATGTGGTTACACTGGATCCACGTGATACTGTTCAAACTATAGTACATGAAATTGCCAACCTGTGCAGTTCACTTAATTCAAGCAGCACGGGAAATAGAATGAGTGGAGGTACTTACTGGATGTTGAAACCCTAGGCCCGTTACAGTGGGCCCATTAGGTTATAGCTAGTTTTCAGTATAAATTATTGTAATCTGTACAGTTCTACATTTGAGAAATAGATGAAACCCTTCACACTTTCACATGGTATTAGAGCCTAAACCCTAGATAGTTTTTCCCCTCTCTTCCCCGCCGCCGCGCCGCCGCCGCCACCGGAGTTTCACTGCCGCCGCGACTGGTCTTCTCTCTCCGACCTCTGCCTGGTGGTTCTTCTCCCAAACCGAGACCACAGGCCTCACCGGAGCTCCGTCGCGAGTCTGTGCCCAGAGTCCGGTCGCCATCCGCCGCCGCACGCGCCACCACGCGCCGTCGCCGTCGCCGGGAACCGCCGCTGTTTTCCGGCCATAACTCTCTCCTCCGATCTCCGATCGAGACGCCGTCACCACCATTGGACTCGTCTCGACGAGACGCTTCCGGGAGTGTTGACCGTTTTCCTCGCCACCGCCCCTGCCGCCGCCGTTCTCCGGCCACCGCCGTCGGTCACCGCCGGTCAGAGAGAAACAGACAGTGTGTTTTTTCTTTTTGGGTAATCTCTATGGCTTCCTTTACCTCTTATCCCACCATTACTATGGACAAATTGGTTGGGAGTGAAAACTACACTTCGTGGGCCGCTTCTGTGACACTCTGGTTCAAAGGCCAGGGGATGTCTGATCATCTAACCAAAAAGGTTGGGGAAATTGAAGAGTCGAAGAAATCAGATTGGGAGAAGTCAGACGCGTTATTGTGCAATATGTTGTGGCAATCCATTGACCCTAAATTATATCTTACTGAGGCACCTATTGCTGTTCGAAAAGGTACACGTTCTACTCGTAACCCCCATCCTATATATACCTTTCTGAGTTATCACCGTGTCTCGTCCCCTTACTTTGCATTTCTTTCTCACCTATCTTCTGTGTCTATACACAAATCCACTCGTGAGGCTCTCTCGGATCCAGGTTGGCGTCAAGCCATGTTAACAGAAATGGAGGCCCTCCAGTCTAGTGGCACGTGGGAGTTGGTTCCTCTTCCTCCTGGTAAAACTGTGGTTGGTTGTAAATGGATTTATGCGGTGAAAGTGGGCCCTGATGGCGCAATTGATCGTCTTAAGGCTCGTCTGGTGGCAAAAGGCTATACTCAGATTTTTGGTTTGGATTATACTGATACTTTTTCCCCGGTTGCTAAAATTGCTTCAGTTCGTTTACTTTTGTCTTTGGCAGCCATTCATCATTGGGACTTACACCAGCTGGATATCAAGAATTCCTTTCTTCATGGTGATCTTCACGAGGAGGTTTATATGGAGCAACCACCTGGGTTTGTTGCTCAGGGGGAGTCTGGTATGGTATGTAAACTTCGCCGTTCTTTATATGGTTTAAAGCAATCTCCACGAGCTTGGTTTGGAAGGTTTAGTTCTGTGGTGTGTGAGTTTGGTATGACAAGAAGTGCAGTTGATCATTCTGTTTTCTATCGTCATTCTAATGAGAAATGCATATACCTTGTAGTATATGTGGATGACATTGTTATTACAGGGAGTGATCAAGAGGGCATATTTCAGTTGAAGAAGTATCTCTTTAGTCGGTTCCAGACTAAGGACTTGGGTAAGCTAAAATACTTTCTTGGAATTGAAGTGGCTCAATCTAGCAGTGGTGTTGTTATTTCTCAAAGGAAGTATGCCTTGGATATCTTAGAAGAAACTGGCATGCTGGACAGTAGACCGGTTGATAATCCAATGGATCCGAATGTTAAACTCCTACCAGGACAGGGGGAGCCATTGCCTGACCGAGAGCGATATAGGAGATTGATTGGAAAACTGAATTATCTCACGATCACACGACCGGATATCTCCTTCGCAGTTAGTGTGTTGAGTCAGTTTCTTGAGACACCTTGTGATTCTCATTGGGATGCTGCTGTTCGTTTTCTAAGGTATATCAAGAGAGCACCAGGACAAGGCTTAGTATACGAAGATAGAGGACATTCACAAGTTGTTGGGTATTGTGATGCAGATTGGGCTGGTTGCCGGTTTGACAGACGCTCTACTTCAGGCTATTGTATTTTTATTGGAGGTAATCTCATATCTTGGAAAAGTAAGAAGCAGGATGTGGTTGCTAGGTCCAGTGCTGAAGCAGAATATCGAGCCATGGCGCTTGCCACATGTGAGCTTATGTGGCTTAAACACCTACTACAAGAATTGCAATGTGGCAATGTTGCCCAAATGACGTTGATATGTGACAATCAAGCAGCTCTACACATCGCGTCAAATCCTGTTTATCATGAGAGGACTAAACACATTGAGGTTGACTGTCACTTCATTAGAGAGAAGATTGTGTCAGGGTGTATTAAAACTAGCTTTGTTAATTCTGCAGATCAGTTAGCTGATATCTTGACGAAATCCCTTAGAGCTCCTAGAGTTGAATATATTTGTAACAAGCTGGGAGCTTATGATCTATACTCTCCAGCTTGAGGGGGAGTGTTGAAACCCTAGGCCCGTTACAGTGGGCCCATTAGGTCATAGCTAGTTTTCAGTATAAATTATTGTAATCTGTACAGTTCTACATTTGAGAAATAGATGAAACCCTTCACACTTTCACACTGGAGAAGAGCCATGTGATGTAGAAAAGCAACCTAAGGAGCAGCTTAATGAAAACCTTTTCGAAGATTGGGTAAGTGTGGTTACACTGGATCCACGTGATACTGTTCCTACTATAGTACATGAAACTGCCAACCTGGGCAGTTCACTTAATTCTCAAGCAGCACAGTTAATAGAAGGAGTGGAGGTACTTACTGGATGAGAACCATGCGATGTAGAAGAGCAACCTGAGGAGCAGCGTACTGAAAACCTTTTCGAAGATAGGGTAAATGTGGTTACATTGGATCCACGTGATACTGTTCCTACTATAGTACATGAAACTGCCTACCTGGGCAGTTCACTTAACTCTCAAGCAGCACAGGAAATAGAAGGAGTGGAGGTACTTACTGGATGAGAGCCATGCGATCACTAGTACAAAAACAGTCATTCGCGTCCAAAGTTAAGGCTAATTCGCGGCCAAAGTAGCTGGGACGCAGATGGCGGGGACGCTGATTGTATATACAATTAGATATACAATCAGCGTCCAAAGTAACTTTGGACGCGAAAAATGATAATTCGCGTCCAAAGTTGAAGTACTTTGGACGCGAAAAATGATAATTCGCGTCCAAAGTTGAAGAACTTTGGACACGTATAATAATTTTTAAATTAAAAAAATAAGCACTATACGCGTCCAAAGTTCATGAACTTTGGACGCGTATAGTCATTCTTTTTTTAAAAAAAAATTATTTATTTAATAAAACTATCAATATTTTCCTGTACATTCCAGCATAACTATCAACAAATAATATACTTCAACATTAATCAATTTACAACACACCAAGCTTCTTCTCATATTCAAGAATTAAATTGCATTACATGATTACATCAAATATTTTAAAAAGTTTACTCATGTTTCTTACAAACAGTGAACATATTAACTTTTCACTTTGAGAGAATCTCAACACAATTGTAATGAACTATGGAAGTCATATGAACACTGTTATAGTATGAATCTGATTGACTATTTTTGGCTGTGTCTTGGGTTGTTGGTTTTTCAATTGGTTGAAACTTAATGCTAGACTCTAAATTTTTCATTCTGTGTTCATTGAAGATTTGGAAAATAAATAGTATGAATTTTTCCTCCCCTTCCCCAAACACACAAACTGCATCTGTATATCATGATGAATCTTAGCATAATTTGAACTGCATCTATATATACTATATGATGCTAAGGCTATAACAAATAACAAAAAAAAATGCCATTTTCCTTAGAATATTCATCTCAGATAAATGCCATCCAACTTTCATGCCTCTAACAAATAACAAAATAATAATAATAATAATAATAATAATAATAATAATAATAATAATAATAATAATAATAATAATAATAATAATAATAATAATAATAATAATAATTACTGATTTTCGAAAAAAAAAATAAAAAAAATTAAAACTAATACATACGCACCTGTGGCGATGAACAGAGTCGGCGGCCGGATTTGGAGTTGACTTGTCAACCTCTGTGCTTGGTACCTAGAATAAATGCATAGAAGTTGAGAGACAATCCATTAAACAAAACACACACCTAATCATAGGTTAAATTAAAGAATCCTGCCTGTCATGTGGGAGTTACCTTAAAAGAAATGATCTCATATGGTTCTGCAGCAAACAAAAGATATTGATATCTTTTGTCAAATGGCTGGATTTTCTGCCAATACAAAAGAAATAAATAAAACAAAGTTAAGCATACTGTTAAAATATATAAAGAGAATTCTTTGCACTTATATTCAAGGAAATTCTGTGATGAGTATTAATATTCCATGGAAAACACTTTAGCCCTTCAAAATACAACTTCTATAAAGATATTACAAACCTGCTCAAAGGAGGACATAAATCTATGCCTCGGCTTTGTATTGTCTTCAATCTCAGGATATTCAATCTGCACCAACCACCAAAGCCACTACACATGTCAGCATCTTCTGGAGCAACATAACCCAATAAGGAAAAACAAAGAAAAAGCATATATATTTGCTGATCTAACTCCTGTTCTCATGGAGCAAAGACACTCTGTTTAAGATAATTTATCTGAATGGGGTTTTCACTATCACATCCTAGCACCAGTATGCCTAATGTGAATTCCTGACTCGTTTTATGCCAAACAATTGTATAGCCACTTCTTATAATCAATATGGAAAGTAACCCTTCTTCTCAGCTTTGGTAGCTAACAGTACAGTAACATTTATTTCTTTACAGAGTAAAAATATTGGTTGGTCCAACACTTGTTCTTGTGGAGTAAAGCCAACTAGAACCAAGAATCTAATTACAATAAGCATGTTTTATTCTGGAATGTTATACACATCAAGAATGTGGTAAAGATTAGAGAGAGAGAGAGTAGCCAAACCTGAAAAAGGAGAGATCTTTGTTTTGTCTCTGGATCAAACTGTTTTGTCACCCTATAGCCAGGCCTACCAATTTTCACTGCAACACATAGTTATACTTCTAAGTAAAGTAACCAAAAGTACTTCGTATATTGAGAAAAGATCATATAGCCAAATTAGTACCTCCCTGTATACAAGCTCCCTAATTACATTACCTCTTCAGCAAAAAGCTCTTCCAGTACCTAATTTATTTGACGATCCTCTACAACCATAGCCAATGCAATGCTCACAAGCTCATTTGACAAAACATAATCACTTATTTTCGACATGGTCAACAGATTTTTAGTCCTCGGGTCCAGAATTTCACTGATTATAACCGATTTGTCTAAAGCCTGTTGCATTTCAAAAACAGATCACAAAGTCAGATTGTTGAAAGAAAGATCCCTGTAGTAGATGAGAATTGAATATTAGTGCTTAAGATTCAAAAACAGATCCTAAAGATTTTTTGAGACTTGTTAATGGCAGCTCATATGAAATTATTACCTTCTTTACCAAGCAAGAATAGAATGAAGAGAGCCAACCATCTTCAGCACCAAGGCCTGTAAAAAGGCAAGAAAAATATATTTAAAAAAGAAAGATTAAATACATTTGTATATTTGTTGTCCAATGTATAGAAAATAGTTTCAGGATTTGCAATTCCATTCAATCAGGAAAAAGCACCTATAAAAATTTGGAGAATCAATAACCAAATAACAAATTAAGCCGCACACCTCGTAACACAAAGGATCAGCTTTGATGGCAGCTTTGTACCTGCATAAGTCATAGAAACAGTTATGAGTTATATAAAGATGAGTTACTAACTTATGGTCAATTTAAGACCCCAACTTGCAAATCTATTAGCTAACCTTTGAAAAAAGAACGATGATAATTATTGACTAATCAAATGCATTATACATTAGCTTTGTGGATTGTCTTGTCTCAGGTCACCAGAAGATCAATCATAGAAAGAATTCAAAGAAAACATAACCTGCACTTTCATCTTTTATATTAGAAAAAGTTTTAGTCATACATACCAAGAGATAGATATATCTTGAAAGGAGGCTTAAATGGCTGAGTCTCAAAAAGGCAATATAAGCAATAAAGGCCACCCAGTCTATGTGATAAAGAGCGAGTAGATACTGCATAGCCTAAGACCAAGAGACAAAAAACAAAGAGTCAAAAAAAGTAAATATCAGTACCAAACAGCAAGAATGTAATTTGATGACAAGGGGTTGGCAATTTAAGTTCCCAGAGGTCATCAATAAAAGAAAAAAAGAATGCAAAAGTGAGAACTGATATGGCATAAAGGAAGTATGAATGGCAAACATAGTACAATAAGAAAAACAAGGATAAACCCATAAGCCAAACAACTGGAAGGGGCACTGAACATATTATGATGTCCAAGAACTATAATAATAACTAACTGTTGGAAAGAAACATCAAACTCTGAAGTCGAGTTAAATTCTTTCAGAATATTAAGATAGAAAGCTATTAGCTCTAGTAACATTAAGAAATTAGATACAACTAGTATGCGCAACATCTATTAATTCGTGAAGAATTGTCTACTTGTAATAAATAGCATACTCTCATTACCTTTAAGAAAGGAAATGTTTAATATAACAGAAACAGATCATATGGTTGCTGACGTTTTAGACTGTTGAAGTTGTTTCTCTAATGCATGTCTTTTAGAGAGTAATAAGCTCCGAGACTGTTTTGTCTTTACACTCTCATAGACCAGCTGCAGATATATTTAGAGAAGACTAGAAGGGGTTAGCAACTCTAAAGCTATCATCTCACTTCACTATTTCAGCACCTCAAATGATGGGGGTTCCCAAATAAAACCACATTTGAAGAGAATTGGAAGATTAGAAAGAGAATTAAGAAACACATTTAAAATAAATAAATAAAACCACAAACGAAACACAAGAGGGGAGTTATGGGGAATACTTTGGTGTTGGAAACACTTATTTCATCCAAAATTTCATCTTCAAGTTGCAAGATATGATCCTCCAAGAGAGAAACTGGTTTCTCAAGTATAAAGCTCGCTACTATGTCATTCCCTGGAAAATTGCAAATACAAAATAAAACCCACAGCAACCTAAATCTCCCTTCCCAACTAGAACTGAACTGCACACAGTTAATGACTATAAGTTCTTACTCAATCTTACTAGCAATCCATGAATCTAATTACGAATTTTATGATTCCTGAACTTCTATGAACAAGGTTGTTTATGATTCATTGTAGCAGGTTTAAGCGTTGCCCCAAGTACAATCTATGAATCAACATGATCCACCACATAATTAACTTGAATATTGGGAAAAGATTTTAAATTAAAATGACAAATCATACAAAGTAGACAAGTACAAAAATTGGTGGGATGTTAAGCCTAGTGTACCCCAGATGCACCATTCGATCACACTCTCACATTATTCTTGACATTCTAAGCCCTATGAAACTTGGTATGCATCAAAAAAAAAAAAAAAAAAAAAAAAAAAAACTAACCTGCAGTGCGAGGAGCGGCGGGGACGGCGGCGGAGACGTCGGCGTGAAGCAGCGACTTTGCGGCAGCGATCGACGACGGCAGCGGGGGCGTCGACGGGAAGATGGAGAGCGGTGGCAGAGGGGGCGTCGGCGTCGAAGATGAAGGAGGATGGAGATCGAAGTCGACGGTGAAGGAGGATGAAGACGGCGGGGACGAAGGTGCGGGTTGATCTGCTGCGCTAGGGCTTATTTTGATTTAAAAAAAATAACACGCGTCCAAAATACTGAGTTTTGGACGCGTATAATACGAGGGTTTTAATATTGGCGTCCAAAGTACAGAGCTTTGGACGCCAATACTGTTTTAAAATAAATAAAAAAACAAATTTATTTATATAGTGACATTTTAATTACAAAAATGCCACCGCACTACACTTTAGGAGTCCAAAGTTCTAACTTTGGACGCGAATTATTCGATTTTATTGATGTTTTTTGTACTAGTGGATGTAGAAGAGCAACCTGAGGAGCAACTTATTGAAAACCTGTTCGAAGATAGGGTAAATGTAGTTACACTGGATCCACGTGATACTGTTCCTACAATAGTACATGAAACTGCCATCCTGGGCAGTTCACTTAACTCTCAAGCAGCACAGGAAATAGAAGAAGTGGAGGTACTTATTGGATGAGAACCATGCGATGTAGATGAGCAACCTGAGGAGCAGCTTAATTAATGAAAACCTTTTCGAAGATAGGGTAAATGTGGTTACACTGGATCCACGTGATACTGTTCCTACTATATTACATGAAACTGCCAACCTGGACAGTTCACTTAACTCTCAAGCAGCACAAGAAATAGGAGTGGAGGTACTTACTTGAGGAGAGCCATGCGTGGTAGCAGAGCAACCTAAGGAGCAGCTTATTGAAAACCTGTTCGAAGATAGGGTAAATGTAGTTACACTGGATCCACGTGATATTGTTCCTTCTATAGTACATGAAACTGCCAACCTGCGCAGTTCACTTACTCTCAAGCAACACAGGAAATAGAAGGTGTGGAGGTACTTACGGAAGGAGAGCCATGTGATGTAGAAGAGCAACCTGAGGAGCAGCTTAATGAAAACCTTTTCGAAGATAGGGTAAATGTGGTTACACTGGATCCACGTGATACTGTTCCTACTATAGTACATGAAACTGCCAACATGGGCAGTTCACTTAACTCTCAAGCAGCACAGGAAATAAAAGGAGTGGGGGTACTTACTGGAGGAGAGCCATGCGATGTAGAAGAGAAACCTGAGGAGCAGCTTAATGAAACTGCCAACCTGGGTCGTTCACTTAACTCTCAAGTAGCACATGCAGATGATTTGCGTGATGGCATTATGAAGCAGTTGGAGAAATTGCGTGATGATATAAATACAATTGAAAGAAGACATAAGTCAATTAGTACTGCAGTGCAGATGTTACTTGGAAAGCCTAAGGAAATTCGGACTCATCAAAAAGGTTATTACCGTGGGGGAAGACGACGCAGCATCTGATTTTGGCAGGCCAAATATTACTTCTGTTTAGAATGCTTTAGTTTTATAAACCAATCAAACTCATGCATAGATCAGGGTGGTTTAATCTGTGTAAATAGCTGGAGGCTGAGTTCTCACAAATTCACCAATTTGCGACTTTCCTATGCTAGTTGGCCCGAGATTCTGATGTAAATTTTCTGCAGCTAATTTTCTCACCACTTCAATTCCCATAAGAAGTGATAGTAAATGTAAATGTAAGACCTTAGAGGATCTTACAGACTCTTCAAAGTCCAATAGAGAACCACTTCCTGCAAAACGTTTTCTTTTTCTGTTTCTTTTAGAACATACAAAAATAAATAAATAAATAAAAAGTGGTATAAAGGGGAAAACTGAAGAAAAAAAAAATTGGTGAATTGTTCATTTGCATTTATTCATGACAACATATATTAATATATAGGTAGACCAATACCGTTAAAATGGCTTTCATGTGGCAGTGCCTGCTGACTGGTACGCAACTTCTTCATTCTTGGAGATGATTGGATGCCCAGCGGTGGAAAAGGAACTGAAGAGTCAATTTCCCAAGGAGAAACTCGTTCTTGATGATTACTCATAAAATCATCATCCCACATAACCTGTTACAGTTGACAGAGACACGTGTCATAAAGGTAACTAACTAAAAGAACATGGTTGTCACTTGAACTTGATAGGATAAAGTTTGATCAAGCCAAGCTAGCTGATTCGACCATTTATACTTGTTGAAAATAAATAACGTGTAATTCATCATCATTTTGACTGTGTCATCTCGTGTGTTCATTTGATTTCTTATAATAACGTGCTGTCTAGCATTTAAGATTTACAATCGCTGTTTAGTTTAGTCAGAAGATTCTCAAGTTAAAATATGAAGTGTCCAACAAACGGGCACCTATGATTATGAAAGAGAATCATATTAGCATACCATCAAGCATCTCCACTTTGAACTGGGCCATCTATATGGATCCAAATCACCTACTCCAGTCACAACACCACTGAACCTGCACAATAATTTTTTGGAAAAATGATGAACTTAGCTATCAAATTAAGCACAAATTAAAAATAAAAATTCCTGAATAAATTCAAATTATGTGCGACGATTTTGACAAAAAAGGTGCTAACGAACTCGTAATTTTCTAATACAATATTTATGCACCACCCACTTAACAACCCTTTTGTACATTTCAACATTTTCTTGTTCTTGAGTAAACTAGATTATAGTAATTCTAAAGGTTATATGTTATATAAGTTCTGCAATGGAGAAACTATCAAACCACATTTTAGTCTCGTCTCCCACATTTTTAATTCAATTTGGGATTTTGATTTTTACTAAGTTTAATTTAGATTCTAGATATGATTATAATTAATAGTGGTCAAATAGGTCAAAATTGGCCTATAGGCCAATTTTTTACCAAACAGGGCCTAAATCAAATCAGAATAATTTGAGTCGCTTACACCAAATTCGACACCCAAACTATTTATTTTTGTACGAGTAATCGGCAGGTTGGGCATGGGTGCGGCAAAGGTGGGCAATGGTATGGGTTGGGAGAGAACACTTTCCCAAGTTCTGTCTGCCCTTCTCAGTCTTCCAACTGCCTAACATCAAAATCTCTTGTCTTCATCAGTTACCAACTAGGACAACATATCAGCCTAACCTTTGTCTGGTGTCATTGTACACCTTTAATTCAATGGGCCACGCTTTCTTATTGGGCCATCGTCCTGCGTTGTGGTATTCAATACTATTACCACTTGCACTGGTCGATACTCGATATGACGTTGATTGTACTTAAAAGATAATGTGAGTATTTGGTAAATAAATGTTAGCCGATTGGGTTAGTGAGTTTGATTAGTTGATAATATTACCTGATTATAGAAAGATGTTTGGTAAATTAGTTGTTACATACAAAATGACTTTCTAAAAAAGCTGTTTTGAGCCGCTTTTTGAATTTTAGGATTTTGGACCAATAAATTATTATAAAAAGTTAATTAATCAAATATTCATATTGGTTGTTTAACCAAGTCAAACAGCTAATAGTGGTCAAAATGTTAGTCTTATTGATTTTTTCATACGGAAGGGATTTTAAACTTTCGATCTCTTTTAAAGGATGATAGTACACGATTACTTGCGCTAACCATGCTCGTTATATTGTTGACTTGTTGTATAGCATTGCACCAAATATAAGAATGGATTAATATCATTTCTGCAAGGTTATCTCTTTTAGGAATTAACCAGGGTATCAACATGGATAGGCTCGCTCCATTAGGCTTGTTGAAATTTTCGCTGGCTGCTCAAGGCGTGATAATTTTTTAAAAAATATCAATAATATATTTTAAACTACCATCAAATTGGCTAGTGTTATAAAAACTGCAGTGGGTAATATACTATTAAAACACAAAAAAAAAAGACAAAATTAAAAAAAATAAAATAAAATTGTGTGGTGTGGTGGGGAAAATTCCAATGTCATACGATGGAAATGAGTTAACAAAATATCAGCCCAACAAACTTGGGCTGAATAAAATTGCATTATTGGGCCTCAATTAGTTGGGCTGCTTAAAATGGCCTAGTTGGATGGCCCATGTCCCATTTTCAAACAAATTATGCTGTGGAACCGTGTCCACCTTGCAAGGTAGACACAATTCCAAAACTGTTCATAATTATAAATATATAGATGAAAAATTATGAACGTATAGTTCTATAATTATGAACATAGAGTTGTGAACATAATTATGAATATATAGTTCTGTAATTATGAATATAGAGATTCAATAATTGTGAATATAAAGTTCAAAAATTATGAATATATAGCTCTATAATTATGAACATATAGTTCAGTAATTATGAACGTAGAGTTCTGTAATTATGAATATAGAGTTCAATAATTATGAATATGAAGTTCAAAATTATGAATATATAGCTTTATAATTATGAACATATAGTTCAATAATGGAATAAGATTCAAATTAGCCACTGAACGTAACTTGAAAATGCAATTAGGCCACTGAACGAAAAAAAAAAAAAAAAAAAAAAGTACAATTAGGCCACTGAACACTCCAAATGTATGCGATTTCACCTGATAGTAACTGATAGCAGGTTACTATCAATTTTAGCAGGTTACCTGCTTACGTAGCAGTTGAATTGGCATTTTTTAATAATTTTTAAATAATTTTTAATATTTAAAAAAAAAAAAAAACGACGGGGTGGCCGCCGACCACCCCGTCGTTTTATTTATTATTTATTTTTTATTTAATTTATTTTTTATTTTTTTTAAAAAAAATTATTATTAAAAATTATTTAAAATGATAAGATGCCACGTAAACAGGTAATCTGCTAAAATTGATGGTAACCTGTTATCCGGTGAAGTTGCATACATTTGAAGTGTTCAGTGGCCTAATTGGGAGAGTGAGGTGTTTCTGCGAAAAAAAAAAAGAATTAATTAGTGCATGTTTTGTGCTTGCATCAACGCTTAGTGGATAACGTTTCATATTACAGGGTAAACAATTAACATGCATGTTCCTTTCTTAGCGAAGGCTGAGAGAGTGTCTCCCTAGGCGTCTAGGGTTCTTTATATTTCTCAATTCTCCGATGGAATTTCCAATGCTCTTTTGTGTTATACTGATAATTGTTCACGCTCGTTATACTCCCGAGTCATAATGGACGTTCGGCAAATTGAGGAGAGATGCGCGGCTATGAACCTAGTCGAGGAGGAATCCACCGGCTTAGAAGCACCAGATGTCCAAGCCTGTCCTGATGCGACGATTCAACACAATCTCGTCGGCCGCTTCTTCATGGATCGGCCGATCAAATTCGATTATATGCAACAGATCATGGCCTCTGTCTGGAGACCAGTGATGGGAATGCAGGTGATGCCATTGTCGGACGAGCTGTTCCTCTTTCAATTTCCCCACCCGAAGGATCTCCAGAGGGTCCTCGATGACAACCCATGGACTTTTGAAAATAGCATGCTGATTTGCGAGGAAGTCCCAAAGGACACCAGACCAGAGGATGTCACGCTGGACGCGGTATCTTTCCAGGTTCACAGGCTACCGGCTGTGTTTGCAACCACGGATTTCCTAACGTGGATCGGAAATTATGTGGGGACATTCATCGCCATGATCCCGTCAATTTTGGTGGCTCATGGCATAGCTTCATTCGGCTCAGAGTTAGAATGAACGTTACAACTCCTCTAAAGAGGCGGATGAAACTGCTGCGGAAGATGTCGACGGCAGCACCGGCACCGGCACCAACTGTTATCATACACCAATGAAGACGATGCTCTTCTCGACTTCTAACTATATACAATTATGGCGGAGAAGATGATGGTTGGAGGAGGGGTTTTAGGGGAAGGCTATATTCGTTAGCTAGGATGTTTGTTGGTTTTGTTTTTTGTAGATCTGAAGTTGGCTTTGGTTTTACCTTTGAAGCGTGTTAATGGCGGTGGTGGGAAATGATTTATCTATCCCACGCAAGGATATGATCTATCCCCTCGCCATGTGATCCGGATTGATTTGTTTTTTTTTTTTTTGTTTGTTTGTTTTAAGAAGGCGTATATATTTGTTATAGTTGTGATTATTGTTATTATCCGTAATGCCATTTTACATGTTCAGATCTTTTGTTTTTTTTTTTTTTGTTTTTTTTTTTATAGCTTTCTTGATTCATTCAAAAGATCAAAGATTGACCTTGTACATTGAGACCCAACTAGGGGTGTAAATGAGCCAAGCCGCTCGAGAGTCGCTCGTGAGCGGTTCGGTCAACGCTCGGCTCGAACTCGGTCAAAATCGAGCTCGGCTCGAGCTCGAGCAGCTCGTAGATTAAACGAGCACGAGCCGAGCTTAGGTATTGTAGGCTCGCGGCTCGACGAGCCGCTCGCGAGCCTTATAATATATTATATAATATATATAATATATACTCCGTAATATGATTATATTATATTTAGTATATAAAAATAATAATTAGGGGAGGAAAATTAAAATAGTTTGATAATTATGTATGCATAAAAGTTATAAAACAAAGTAGTTTAAATTTTAAATCAAACAGGTCAAATTCGAGATCAAAATTGAGCTCAAATTCAAACCTAAACTCGAGTTCGAATTCGAGCTCGAGCTCGAACAACCGAACTGCTCGAGCTCGAGCAGCTCGACAATTACCGAGCTCGAGCTCGAGCATTAGTTCACGTGTTCGAACGAGCTCGAGCTCGAGCTCGAGCAGTGCTATCATTAACGAGCTCGAGCATGAGCCTACCCAGGCTCGGACTCGGCTCGGCTCGTTTACGCCCCTAGACCCAACATAGAATGATGATGGAACTTTTTTGGTGATTTTTTTGCTGCGCAATAGCGGCCTGGAATGGGCTTCTGCGCAATAGCTTTTTGTGTTCACTATTGCACATGTAGGTCCATATAATATAAGTGAATTTTTATTATTAAGATATATTTATAAAATTTCTATAGTTGTAAAACCAACCTCTCTCATTTAGAAATGCAAGTTACAATACTTTAATGTTTACAATTCTAAGATTTTTTTTAGAAAAGAAAATCAAAAAAAAAAAATCAAACAAAAATTAAACTTGACATTGAGTTGGTTAGTAACTAAATACAATATGTGATGACAACTAACTCAATAGTATAGTTTAACAAATGTTGTATATCAATACCTTTGTATTTTACGAAATTTAAGCAATTTTGTTGATGGAGGACAAAAAATGATCATGTTACAATAATACCAAGACCAAATAAAATTGTTCTAAAAAAGAAATACTAAAAGTAGGCTGTTATATATAAATCTATGACCCAAAATGAAATTAACTCTTATATATTTTGCTCTGGTTACTTGGACAAAACTCAATAACTTATCCACTGACACATGTCGAATATGGTACCTAAAGAACGGTATACCCAAAAAAAAAAAAAAAAATGGTACCTAAAGAACCTGGAGCACTTAATTAAAACTTTGAACATTTCAAACAAAATAGATGTGACCTGATAAATTTTGAGTCCATTTTGCTTGGGATCCTTTTG